CCCGTAGTGTCGGCACAACAGGTATTTGTCCACCAAATAACTCTATCATACGTCATCTCAGTCATCACTCCCTTTTTGATCATGTCACCTTTCACGCAATACATCCATATTATGTTATGTTCCAGTGATTCTCCACCCCTGCTCTATTGTGATATCCTTTTAACCTGATACGATATGACTCTTACTTTATCTTTTACCTGTTACATATGTGTTTGTCTTGTTTTTCCCTGTCTTTTCCCTTCTATTTTTCTATCAAGGTTATGTGTCCGTCATGTCGTGTGAAATATCTATCGTTTTGTATTGTTTTTAGTAATGGGTGTTGGTTTCTTTACCCTATCTACTACTCTCTGATTTGTAACTTTTTCCACTCAGCTGACTTTTCCAATATCCAATCTAAGACATTATTTTTTCCTTCCTTCCCTTTTAGTGTGATCTAATATTGTCTGTCAGTTGTAACTGTAACGTTGTCAGGACCTGGGCAGCGACATCAAGAAGGAGAAGGTGTTCCTGGTGTGTCACGTGGTGCGCATCGGCTCCATGGAGGCGCAGAACCTCGACCACAGGTCAGATAAAATACCACTTTTTTACATTCATGTTTTCTCTAAATCAGAAGTTCATTCCATCCACTTTAAAAATCAGTTATTTTGTTTTGATCACCATTTTTTTCATTTTAATAACCTCAATGTATTCTGGCTTTGATTTTAATCAAAAATGTAATCTAAAGGAGAACGAACCACTCGTAGGTCCAAACCAAAACTGGCTTGAGACAGACGAGTTTACATTTCTTAATAACTACCTGATGCTCGCAACTTCGCCTGAGAGAAATTAAAAAAAAAACAATAAAAAACAAATTATTCACTGTTAACGTAGCTATTTAATGGTGCAATTTTTTTTTAATCGGACAATTAGATTTTGAGTTATTTAAATACAAAAATACAAATCTTTTCTCTTTATAATATTAGTATAGATTTCGATTATTAAAAAAACGGTAAAGAATTGCAACAATAGTGAATTGTTTATTTTATAATTTGGGTTTAATTCCCCACAGGGCTAGTCTATCGCCGTACACCAGAAGTAAGCTATCGTAAGTTATATTTTTGACTAAGTTATTACTTAATACGCGAAATGTAAGCTCCGTGTTACAAGCCAGGTTGGGTTTCCTTGTCTGCTTTTGTTCGCTTCGTTTGTATAAATTTATGTCATTGTAATATTCACTTCACATTTAAAAAAAACAGACAAAATTAGGCAACTTGGTCTGCAGCAAATTGTATATTGGTCTCTCTTAGTGACTTAGTTTTAGAAAAGATTTTTTCTATCATTTCACCATCATTAATAAACCCTAAGTACTCCCAGCTCATAGCCGGGGCAATATTTGTAATATCCTTACTTATGTTATAAATGCGAAAGTTTAGATGGATGTTTGTTAGTCTCAGATTGAGTAAAAGCTATTAACCTTTAAATGCATGTAAATACAACATTCAACAAAAAATATAAATTTGGATCATTATTATTTTTCCTATATATACCGTTCTTACATTAAATATGAATTTTTCAAAAAGTTCGGAATGAGGCATTTAAGAGTTAATGTTTGTATGGCCTAGTCACCCCTAATTTGAGGTAGGCTCAGTGCTCCTCAGTGGGTGTCCTCCTGAATCGACGGGTGAACTGCAGTTATTTTCAGGATTTTCTTTTATGTTTTTTTTCTGAAAATGAAAACTTTAAATTGCTCTCCTGAACATTGAACCTAATGGCGCTTAAAACAAATAAAATTTCACCCATCGGTATAGTCAGTTGGTGATGATGATCTGTGTGGGGTAGCAGACGCAGCTCCGTGGCGGGCGGGG